TTAGCTGTCTTTTGTGAATGAGAAAATTATTACTTTCCTGTGTCAGTTATGAAAAATATTCCAGTACTGTTTTTATTGATCAGAATTACACAGCTTAAACAGACTTTCTGACCATGCATAGCTAATTTATTTTTTACGAGATAAACACATAAGCAGTAGGGAAAATACCCATAACTGTTATTAGGGAAGAAATGAAGTGGCACATGAGAAAAATTTCAGACAGAAACAGCCAGGCTTTTACAGTCAATGAATCCACAGCATTGAAAGATGGGGCTCCTCATCAGGTGGGGCTGGTGAGTGGACCTGTCAAACACTTGTTGTCATCTGCTTTATACTCCCATGGCCTCCTGCAAGGGGGCTTCAACCCTAGACAAGAACTATAGTCTGTGACCACCATTTTAATCTGTCTCTGTGCAGTGTAAATCATAGCTGTCCCTCCTGTGCCACACAAACCCTGGTTCTCAGTCTCTATTACTTTCAGAGAAGGAATCACATCACACCTGAGGAAGCTGGTCCTTGTTTGCAGTAGGGGAACACCCCAGAGGAAAAAGATACCCCTAACAATTTAGAGAAGCCCAGGGAAGAATGGGACAATTGAAATACACACTCATGTATGCATTTATGGCTTCAAAAAATGTCACAGTCAATAAAAATGTGGGCCACATTTTAGTAGAGGAAAGAAGCCCATGCTGACAATAGAAAATGCAGAAAAACACAGGTGGAGATAGTCACAAAGGCCAAGCATGGGTGTCCCACAGATATATGCCCTCTGTTCCTACAGAATTAGAGAACTGAGGCTATCGACATGAGGGGAAAAGATCCTCATATTGGCCAAAGAAGCAACACTATGTTTTGTAAGGAATTAAGAATGTGTTCTAAGGGAACTCCCCATCCCAATACACTCAGGAGATTCACAGCCTGCCCCTATCATCAATCCTTTGAGGTATATGCAGGGCTATGGTGTTAACTACTATCAGAAGAGTCTTAAGAGTAATGAGATTCTTAGGGTGAATGGAGGGTCCTTTAGCCAGGTAAGTCCTCTGAGTATGGTCAGAAATCAGATAAGGACTCCATGGGAGGAATCAGAGTACTTCTCCCCTGCTAAGAGCCTAGATTTTCTCTGCAGTAGTATTGGTTCAGGCCCCCATTTACTCCCATGCTATGAGGCTGTAGCTAAAATAGTGGTAAGGATTTTGGTCAGAGGACATGGCCTAACTATTTCTACAAGGAAGTTTAAGTCATGTCTGAGGAAAACACACACAACAGAGTACATCACAGGGAGACATTTGGCAAGTGGTAGAGGAGAGAGGTTCAGGATTTCCAAGAACTTGCTTGAAGATTCTCAGTGGAAACTGAAAAGGCCCCAACAACTCTAAGAAGCTAGAAGGCATGAGTGGCAGCCTGCTGTATTCAGCCAAGCTCAGCAGAGGCAGGAATGACAGGCTGTAAGCCTAGACTTAATCTGCTTCTTCCTTAGGGAACAGGCAGTTGAGAACAGAAGGCCAGTAGGTTCCTAAAATCGGTGCTCTCATGGAAACATACAGAGGTTATGTTAGATAAATAAACAAAGGGTGGATTCCCCTGGAAAAAGGGCTCACATAATTTCATTCTTCCCTTGGCAGGTGTCTGCATCACCAGCATCCTGCCCACACATCTTGCTGTTGTCCCTAGCCAAGAGTCATCATGCCTCGTGGTCATAAGAATAAGCGCCATGCCCGGAAGAAACGCCACCAGGCCCGAGGTGAGGCTCAGGCTTGTGGAAGTGTTCAGGAAATAGCAGAGGAACCACAAGAGGCAGCGGAAAAGTCCTCTGCTGCTTCCCAGAGCCAGCCTGAGGCTGAGTCTTCCAGCACTCCCGAGGCTCTTCAGGAAGCAACACCATCTGCCTCAAGCACTCTGAGTATTTCTTCCTCTGAATCACGTGAGAATTCCTGTGGGGAAAGTGATGAATTCCAGGAAAAGGAATCCCCCATTGAGGACCAGCCCTGCACCATCCGTCCTCACCAAGAAATGGTAGCAAGAAAGGTAATAGTGCTCTTACAGCACCTGCTCCACAACTTCAATGTGAAGCAGCTTACTACTAAGGAAGATATGCTGAAGCTTCTCACCAAGAAGTATGAAGACGACTTCCCTGAGATCTTCAGGAAAGCCTCTCAGAAGCTCGAAGATGCCTTTGCAGTGGAAGTGAGGGAAGTCAACTCCAGTAAGCCCTCATACAACCTCATCAGCAAGCTGAAGCTCCCCAACAATGGGAGGATTCGTCCTGGCAAAGGCTTTCCCAAGACTGCTTTTGTGATGTGTGTCTTAGGTATTATCCTCATTAGGGGCAATTGTGCCAGTGAAGAAGACATCTGGAAAGTCCTGAAGAAGAAGCGAATCTATCCAGGAAAGAAGCACCGCATCTTTGGTGAGCCCCGGAAGCTCCTGACCAATTATTTGGTGAAGCTGAATTACCTGGAGTACAGGCAGGTGGCCGGCAGTGTTCCTCCACGCTATGAGTTCCTGTGGGGTCCCCAAGCCTATGCTGAAACAAGCAAGATGAAAGTCCTGGAATATTTGGCCAAGATAAACCAAACAACACCTAGTGCCATGGCTGCCATTTACGAAGAGGCTTTGAAAGATGACCAAGGACAAACAGAAGCCAGAGATGAAGATGACTCTGATGCCACTGACCAAACTAGTGAAGATCCCTCAGTAAAATTACCAGCAAATCCCACTGTCCCCGTTGACCTTTAAAGTTTTCCTGTCATTGAGATAAGGACACAAAGCATGAAAAAAAGGTTTTCTTGAAAATATGAAATAATCTTAGAGTTAGTAGGTCAGGACACTGGGAATAGCAGGGGATTAGAACACAGTTAAGTCTAGTTTCCTTTAATTGCATTCATTATGTGGTTTGGTAAAGTTAAATGCAATAAATGTAATTAAATATTTCCCCTGGTTTGTAAAACAAAAGTCAATAAAAGTCAAATGTTTATGAATTAGACTTTGTGTTTATTTACTGATATTGTACAAATCTATATCAAATACATTCTCTTTAGAAGTCGATGTGAATGTGTTAGAACAGTAATATAATATTCCAGCCTCCAATTTTAGAAATTTTGAGCCAGTATCTGCAGTTTTACCAGTAAGATTGGATTTCCTCTTTTTGACTTAAGGTAAAGTAAAAAGGAATAAAGACAATGGTGTTTTCTTATGAGAGCAATCTTGTTGAAATTCATTGAGCAAGGCATGTGGAAAAGTCAAATTCCCTAAACTTGGAAAACAGATGCAATTTTCATTCATTGATCATGAAATTCTTGGGCTAACTGGACTTTAAAAGTAATGAATACATGCCATCTCCTTAGATGGTATGCTTTACAGTTTATGGGGAAATGTACTGTAAGTCTATGATAGCAACACAGAGAAAATACACACTGGAGGTTGGGGTCAGATGGAGGTGTATATCACCTTTATTTTGGTTTAATTTTTATAGTTTTGGATGCTGAAAATTGTAAGATGAAGATTACAGCTGACCCCGTTCTAAACAATGCTATTCCTATTTAAAACTTTGAGAGAGGAAAAGAACAGGGGAGTAAGGGATGGACAAAGGTAAAGGAAAGGCAAAGTGAAGACAGGGAAAGGTATAAGTGTAGCAGGAATCTTAAAAGTACTTATTAATAAAATCAAACCCGAGGCCGGTTATTGGGGTGCATGCTGGTAGGTCAGAGAGACAGAACAAGCCACAGCTATCTCACCTCACCAGTTCCTCAGCTGGTCCTGTTTCCTCAGACTGGAAGCCTCTGAATCCTCATCCAGAATGAATCTCAGCTGAACTGTGTTGCTCCAAAGCCTGAAAGTTTAACCAGCCAAATGCTTCTAGTTTCTGGTCCTCACGCCTTATATATCTTTCTGCTTTCTACCACCACTCCCTGGGATTAAAGGCTGGCTTTCTGGGATTAAAGGCATGTGTCACCATGTTTGGCTATTTCCAATGTGGCCTTGAACTCACAGAGATCCAGAGGGATTTCTGTCTCTGGAATGCTAGGATTTAAGGTGTGAGTGCCACCATTTTCTAGGCTTTGTATTTAGTGGCTGTCTGTTCTCTGACCCCAGATAAATTTATTAGAGTACACAATATTTTGGGGAACACAATACCACCACATATAAGTTATTGTGTTGGTGGGCAAATGGAACAAAAATCTCCATTTGGGCAGGAAGGAAAGGTGTCCTAGATTCTCTTTCCAGTGCAGGTAAGTCAGACTGAAAAATCAGGTGATTGGTGCATATTCTGTCAACATTTTGAGAGATCCCTCAAGTGAGATGAGATCCATAGAAACCACTACATCATCACTGTTTGACTAGCACTGAAAAGTAGATGCTAACTGATGAGAAGAGCATTTCATGTTAAGTTATCTTAATTTTCATTTCACAAACATTTATCAAGGGCTACATTTTGTTAAGGTAATAATGACTAAAATGAGGCAGCTGGACAGAAGGACATCATGGGGGCAGTGGAATTTGACCTTATAACAAATTCTAAGTCCTTGAATTGTAGTCATCTGGGACAGCCCCCTCCCCCCCCCACACACACTCAAATTAGAGCTGTCATGTTGAAATGAAAATAGTGGTACTCATTACTTTTGCCCTGTGTACTATAATTTTTATGAGACTATTCTATATGCTCTAATACTTTCAAGATACGAGAACAAGATGTACGACAAGTGGATGTATCACCTGTGACCAATATAATAACAGTAATTTTTCAAAGACTGAGCATTTTTTTTCCAGCTGTGTACTCCCACCAGATAGAGCCCACACAAGACTCACTTGGTTGATGTTGAGCTTGTGGTTTTCTTTTTAAGGCTGGGAGATAGAATAGTAAGACTAAATCCTGATATACATTTGTCTGGTGCACTTTTCCACTCCTACTTGAAGATGCTATGCCTCCAATTCGGTATTTTTTCTCTCACTATTCTAAACTGGCTCTCAGACAAAAAAAATACTAGTATGCAACGTAGTGAAAACAAGTCTATAAAAGGCAAGTTAACAGATTAAAAAAATCTTTAGATAGTGGCCCTAGGCTTTTGTTTCCTGAAAGGCAACACAATACAGGAGCTAATATTCCTGGTATGATACACCTGCAGGTCTTTGCAAAGTATAGCACCCTTCCCCAGGATCTTCTCAGTATGCACTTCTTCCACCTCGGGAGCCTGACCTGATGAGTAGCTCTTGACTGCATCTTACTCTGAAGGTCAAATTCTGCTCTCATTGGAGTGAATAGCCTCTTCCACATAACCCTGACAGAACATTCCAACTCCATGTTGTTGTCACCTTTGCCATGGTTGTCTATCACCTTCAAATTCTACTTTATACAACATATTAGAAATCTCTCTCTCTCTCTCTCTCTCTCTCTCTCTCTCTCTCTCTCTCTCGTCTTATACCCCACTCCTTTTCTTTTTTTCTATGGCTTTTCAAACATTTCATTTTTTATAGATAATTTAAATACTTTCTGGGTGTATTTCTAATTCTTTGGTTTATACTCTTATTGTTATGTGTTAAGCATAAAGTAGATTTTATATTTGTGAATTAAATTGAGAAGCTTTGTTTCTGACTTTTTTGATACACAACAGGAAAAATGTTAACTTTTGCTATTCTAATGTTTTTCACTAGATTTTTTTTTATTCCATATACTCCAAATACAGTTAGTAAAAAGGCACCAATATTGCTGGCTTAAGGGAAAATGTTCTTAAATATTACTCTGCAAATACTAGAATTTTAAACAAAGAAGTAATTATTTCTCATTTTATAATATTAACACTTTAAAAATTATATTTTTCTTACAACTTACAGAATTTTGTCCACAGTTGCACCAAATAGTGCAAAAAAAAACAACAAAAAAAAACAAAAAGGAAATTTTTGTCCTTCTGTGACCAAAGTGCTGGCATCACATGTTTGGTGGGATGAACTACTTTATGTTTGAGAACTAAAAAGCTAATTAGCAAAGATTTGGTGCCAAGATGTGCCTGGTGACTGTCAAACATCTGGTGCTGATCCTTCAGGCTATGTCCCTATGAGGTCCCAGAATTTAAACTGAAACAACCAAGATTGATATCCAGGATGGTTTCATCTAGGACTAGTAAATTCTACCTTTTGCATTCCATGATACCTTTGAAGGAAATTCTGAGTAATCAGGCAGAAGGAATAGCAAAGATAGCTACAGACTGGCCTGTTGTTTCTGACAATTCTATCTTTCAACCCAAGGCCATGTCCAGCAGCTCATCCCTCATCTAGTTGGGGTAGCATGAAGTACAGTTTTTACTTTCTGTTTGGAAGGAACATACAGTCATCTCAGCGGTGGAGACTTTACTGGATGGAGGACAAAAATGCATGTGTTCTTAAGCTCTTTCTGCTTAAATAAGTAACTGTTTTAGTGTTTGTACTTTTAAGTCAAGAGTTACTTAGCTTCAAATAATCTTATCAATTATTTTGTTCTCACATAAACTGCGCAGTTTTAGTATTAAGAAAACAAATTCACAAAGCATTTTTTGTTTATGGCTTAGTATTGGGTGGAGTAAAAAGCCAAAGGAACCCCACAGTAAAGGAATTGTTACTGTAAATGACAGTGTGAAAAAAAACTAAAAATTTGTGGCTGGAAAGAAAGCTCAGTTATTAGGAGCACTTGCTGCTCTTGCAGAGAGGATCCAGGTTTGGTTCCAAATGCCCACATTGGGTGGATCACAACAACTCATAGCTCCAGTTCTAGGGGATCTGGCACCCTCTTCTGTCTTCAGAGGGTACTATGTATGTACCATGTATATACCATGTATGTACCATGCACATACATACATGCAGCCATTCACACATACACATAAAAAAGCAGTATTTTTAATGGCTGCTATGGAAACCAGTGTGGAGGTTCCTGAAAAAGCTGAAAATTGATTTACCCCAAGATCCTGCTATACCACTCTTGTGCATATACCCAAAAGACTTTACATCTTACCCATCTTTATATTTTATAAAATATACATATGTATGATAACACTTGCTCATCCATGTTCATTGCTAATCTGTTCATAATAGCAAGTCATTAGATAGTCTAGATAGCCACCAAATTGAAATAATAAAAATGTGGCACAATGGAAAAACGAAATTATGAAATTTTCAGAGAAATGAATGGAACTAGAATCAATCATCCAGAGTAAGGTAGCCCAGATCACAAAAGACAAATATAGCATGTTTTCTCTAATATGTAAATGTTAGCTTTTTTTTTTTTTTTTT